TATAAAGAATATATTAAATAACTTGGCATCTAATAATCGTACAAAGATGTATCATAGCTTGTTAGAATCGTCTCACTGAGACGAATCGAATGGTGGTAGTTTTATCCTTTTCCTTTGCTAGTATTTACGGCCAGACCACCCATTGCCTCTTATGAGACTAATTTCGGGTCTGTGTCCTATCATCTTCAATGGGTAACCATTAAACCGAGTACTTAATTCCTCAGGTAACAGCACCACTACAGAAGACATCATCCATCAGGCCACATTTAAGGCTGATCTGAAGCTAGGAATACACTGCCTACTCATCCTATACCCATTGCATGATACTGGTACTCAATTTATTTTACGACCTTTAGAGAGCACCTACAGGTAGCATTAACCATCTAGTACCCTTCCATAAGGACCCCGGATATCTAATATAAAGGTCATAATGGACTTTTGGCCAAAAACACACCTTTTTGCTAAAACTCAAAAAATCGTATTTTGTAAATATCTCAGCATCCAGTAATTCAATTTTAATGAACTTTTTTTTATTTTGTAGCCCTCATTTAGCTCTACAATTTAAAAAAAAGTTCATCAAAATTGGACCACTGGATGCCGAGATATTTACAAAAAACGATTTTTTGAGCCCCTGAAAAATGGGCCAATCTGCCGAAAGTGTGACTTATGACCTGTTTTGGAGATATCCGGGGTCCTCTTTCATACCACCATTTTAGGTACGAGGTTTCACTCAAAGGCTACTACAGTCCGTGATTACCTAGCACTGATAGTACGGTTGTTTACCCCAAGTGGTATACTTTGTAGTGACCACTCAGACAGGAAGTAGCAGACATCTGTTCAGGATCACCTCTTATGGTGGGTATCAACTACCAGGGATCACCAACCAGGACCCAAAGAGTAGGGAATCGAACTCCATAACCATGCTACCTGTTCTGTGCACGAACACCTTGGTTGGCCTAAGACCTAACAGAAGGTCTAACTACCACTAAGATATTGCACCCTCAGCTTTACCATCTAGGACGACCATCTAGCCATTACTGACCTCAAGCGGTATCGTAGAGTGACCACCTGGACAGGAAGTCCCCCCTAAGGTATAGTAGTAACTAGTGACCTCAAAGACAGGACTGTGCACATGCCAATGGCCTCATAGGGAACGTTAGAAGGATACTATGACCTTTAGTTGAAATGTGCAGCCTAACCATACACACTAATTCACTATGATGCAGTCCAATTACGCTAATCTCTGTACCTTCACGCTATTAGTTGTAGTGTCTGCAATAAAATTCGTTTAATTTCTGTGATTGGTGGAATTGAACCTGTGACCTCATACTCAGGCTTAATGAGGGTCTCAGTCACTTACCACTGAAAAAGGGTGATCAACCCTTTTGGTGCATCTTTCTACGATTATTGGATGCCAAGTTATTATGTGAAACGTAATATTTTTAGGTTTCGACAATTTTGACATGTTGAAACTATTTCGGCATTTCAGCATTTCGACAGATTTTAGTTTCAACATTTCGACAATAGCCTGTAAAATTTCAGCAGGCAACTTTATACTTAGCCTCATGAAAATTAAAATACAAGTAGATTTAACTTGCTGAACAACCTTACTTAAGCATAAAAGATAATTTGATATAATCAAAGTGGTGAGTAATAAAATTATATTTTAAAGTAGTATTGTGATCCAGATGAATCCATCATCCGTTCAATTCAGTCCAAAAATAAATGGATGATCTGGATGAAAATCTGATTTAATCTAAATGGAAAAAGTTATATGTACAATCTGGATGATTTGGATCTAATCTGTTAAAATATAGAGATAATAGATAGCGGATTGGTCCAGATGAATGATCTGAATGATCCAGACAGGACCTTAGATATTACATATACAACTTAGTGGCAACTTTTTCGCAGATTGACCTAAATTTCACAAAAAAAAAATCAGTTTTTTGCAATTATCTCGGCATCCAGTAGTCCAATTTATGCGAACTTTTTTTGTTTTGTAGCTCTCATCGAGCTCTACAAAATAAAAAAAATCTGCATGAATCAGATCACTGGATAACGAGATAATCACAAAAAACGGAAAATAAAAAAAGAGCAAATTGGGGTTTTTTTGGCAAAAAGTCAGTCGTGAGTTCTATAAAAGATGTCCAGAGTCCTATCTAAGGTTGCTTGCCTAAACCTTTCCAAAATTCTACAATTAGTTTCTCCAAGATTTTACTATAGTTTTATTATAGTTTCGGCAAAGTTTCAGCAGTTTTAGTATTTATAATAAGTTTCATCAGGTTTCACCTGGTTTCACCTTTCTCCAGAATTTCGCTAACTTTTTAATAAGACTTTCATATAGTTTTGGCAAAGTTTCGCTATTTCGGAATTTTGCCAATTTGCCAAAACCTCCTAATTTTTCCAGCAACCTTAGTCCTATCCAGATAATCCAGATGATTTTTAAATCAGATAAATTCACAGATTGATGGATTGATGGATCGCAACACTATTTTAAAGTAAAACATATTTACAGTAATTTTATTTAACAAAATAAACATGTATAAAATATAATATATTAAAAATAATACACTATTTAAAGAAAGTATTGCATAGAGTTCCGAATGGATCAGGTCAGGTTAGGTTAATTGATAAACCTGACCTGAAATTTTTTTTTAGGTTAGGTCAGGTCAGGTTATATCAGGTTGTCTGTTTAACCTGATATGACCTGAAACCTGAAAATTTTTAGGACTATTTTTATTAAAAAATTGAAAAAAACGGTACAAAACTTTTTTTTTTTTAATATAATATTATGAAAAAAAATGTTTTTGCAACGTTTTTTATTAAAATATTGAAAAAAAATATTGCAAAACGTTTTTTTTAATATAACATTATGAAAAAAATGTTTTCGCAACGTTATTATTGAAATATCAAAAAAAAATGTTACGAAACATTTTTTTAATATAAT